TGGTTTTGATTCCTTCATCTAAATTTCCAATGATGAGGTCTTTGGGATGATTAGTTTTATGCTTCTAGTTTTTGTTGAATCCTTCATCGTTTTCATCATCGGGATTTGATGATTCTTCATTATCTTGTTGGTTTGAAGATTCTTGAGCTTCATCAGATCTTTGATTATGATCACTTTCACTTACTGTCAATTCATCAGATGCTTTGTTAGATTCTTCAGATACTGAATTTTCAGTGTCAGAGTCATCTTGTTGAGTTTAAATTGAATCTTCAAACTTGACATTCAATGATTCTTCCACTGTTTGAGTATTTTTGTTGTATACTCTGTAAGCTTTGCTTGTAGTTGAATATTCAAGAAAAATTTCTTCATCTGACTTTTCATCAAACTTACCAACACGGTCATTAGGATTTTTGAGAATAAAACATTTACATCCAAATATCCGAAAGTAAGAGATATTAGGAATTTTGCTTTTGAACAATTTATAAGGGGTCTTTTCAAGAATTTGTCTTGGAAAAATTCTATTTGAAATATAACAGGTTGTTGATACAGCTTCAGCTCAAAAATGTGCTGGAGTTTTGTTTTTAAATAGAAGAGTTCTAGCCATTTCTTGCAAAGTTCTATTATTTCTTTCAACTGCTCCATTTTGTTCAGGAGTATAGGGAGAGGAAAAAGTATGTTGAATACCATTTTCATAACAGAAATTAGAAAAATTTTGATTTTCAAATTCTCTATCATGATCCGATTTAATGCTCGAAATAGTATAACCATTTTCATTTTGTACCTTTTTGGCAAATTTTGAAAAATATTCAAATGTTTCACTTTTATGAGCCAAAAAGAATAGCCACGTAACCTTACCAAAAAAAAAAAGAATACCCAAGTAAATCTTGTATAATCGTCTACAATAACTAAATGGTATTTCTGACCTCCAAGACTTAGAGTTTGAGTAGATCCGAAAATATCCATATGAAACAACTGCAAAGCTCGGTTAGTGCTGATATAGTTTATTAATTTAAATGAACTTCTTACCTGTTTAGCTTTAGAGCAAGCTAAACATAACTCAGTGCTCTTGAATTTTCGTTTTGGCAGTCTTTTGACGAGTTTCTTTGAAGCTATCTTGGAAATCAACTTGACACTTGTGGTCCGAGCTTCCTGTGCCATTGATCAGATTCTTCTTTTATGGAAACGAGACATTGCAAGTCGTTAAACTTCATGTCTAGTAGATAAATATTTCCATGTCTTCGACCCGTAAATGATTGCTTGTTGTATTTACTTATCCTGGAACATTTGTTTTCTTGGAAAGTAATTCTATAACCAATATCACATAACTGACTAATGCTAATTAGATTGAAGTTCAAACCGTCAACTAGTGAGACTTCATTGATGATGAGATTTTCGATTTTGACAGTTCCCTTGCCAATCATTTTTCCTTTGTTGTTGCCTTTAAAGGATACGCTTCCTCCTTTAATTCTTTCTAACAGATGAATTTTAGAGAATCTCTGGTCATGTGTCTTGAGCAACCACTGTCAAGGTACTACTTTTTTTTTTCTTTTCTTTGATACCTGCAAAAGATAAGTAACTCACTTTTTCTTTAGTACCCATATTTTCTTGGGTCCATTTTGGTTAGGATCAATCATTCTCAGAATGTCTCTTTGAATAGGTCTCCAAACCTTGAAACATTCATTCTTAAAGTGATTTGTATCACTGCAATTTGAGCACTTAAGGGAAGTTTGACCATTGAATTTCACAAACTGCTTTTGAAAGTGATTTTGATACACAAATCTGGGGGATTTTTTCTTTAGTCTTTCTTTGACATTGGGAAAAGCATTTTTCAATTCAGTATTTTTCTCAAAACCCAAACCTGATTTATTATAATAAGGAACTTGAATTGACAAAATATGATGATGATTTTTTGAACCTATTGAGAATTTCTTGATTATATTTGAAATTTCATTTTTTAGAAGTTCTTTTTCTTTAGAGATTCGATCAAAACTTTTCTTAAAAATATTTTTCAGATCATAAATTTCCTTTTTCAATAAATCATTTTTCTTTTCAAGGAATTCTTTATTCTCCTTGATAAGATTAAATTCTTTTTGCAAAAAATCAATTTTATCCTTTTGAGAAATATCTTGCTTTTTTAAGAGATTGTTTTCCCTTTTTAAACATTCATTTTCTTATGCAATTGACTCATGAATATCCTTGTTTTGAGTCGCACTTTTTAAAGTCAAAATTTCCTTTTTCAATACAGAAATCTTTTTGAAAGCAATTTTATTAACAGAGACAAACTCATCAATATAATTTGCAATTGCTTCAAGAATTTTGGAATTACTTACTTCGTCTTCTTCATCAAAACTTGATTCTGAGTCTGAATTTGCCATCAAGCAGATATTGGCATACTCTTGTTCGCTTTCATCATCATCTAAGTCACTCCACATTTTAGCTTTGAAAGCATTCTTATATTATTCATACTTTCCTTTGTTCTTTTTGAGAAGAGGACATTTGGGCTTTATGTGTCCGTTCTTTTTGCAATGGAAACATATCACGTCCTTGTTTTCTTCATCTTCGGTACTCGATTTCTTCTGAAAGTTTAGCTTCTTGGCTTTTAATGGCTCAGAATTTCTAAATTGCTTCTTTGACTTATTCATCTTTACCTTCTTTGCCATCTTTCTCAGTTTCTTGACCATTAGAGCCAACTCTTCATCTTCATCTGAATCTGTGTCATCAAAATCAATGTTAGTTTTTAAAGCTATGGATTTTTTACCTTTGGGTTCTTTAGTTTCTAAGAACTTTTCAGTTTCATAGGATTGAAGAGTTCCGATAAGTTCGTCCACTGTGAGTGATATGATCCCTTAAGTTTCTCGAATAGAAACTTTGATGTTGTTCCACTCTTTTAAGAGAGCTATCAGCAACTTGTTCACCTTCATAGGTTCTGAGATGGGATTGTTTTGAAATTCAAGCCCATTTATGATCTCAGTGAATCTACTTTGCATCTCGGAAATTGTTTCATTTGGTTTTTGAGTGAAGGACTTGCATTGCCCAAGGAGAATGTTGAGATTTGTCTCCTTGACTCTCTCTGTTCCTTCATGAACAAGCTTGAGATGATCTCAAATTTCTTTTGCAGTTTTGAGATTTGCAATTCTTTTATATTCAACACGTGCTAGACCATTATATATGGCCGTTCTGATCTTTGCATCCAGATAGATCCTTTTAGAAATTTCCTTGGCCAAGAGAGGTAGAGCTTGAGATTTGATTTGCTATCTAATTCCCTCATCAGAAGATGTCTCATTTTGCCCTTTTGAAGTTTCTGGAGATTTTGTTTCGGTTGAAACATTTGGAATGATTCCATGTTCAACGATATCCCATATATCCTAATCTATTCCCAAGATGAATGTCTTCATCTTGTTTTCCTAGACATTGTACTCAGTTCCATTGAAATAAGGCAGTCTATTGTTGTGACCTGACTCAGCATTACTAGCCATTAAGAATCGTTAGCTCAGAAGTAAAAATAACATTTCAAAGAAAAATGAGCACTAGGCTCTGATACCAATGGTTACGGGTAGTGCTGTCATCTAGAGGGGGTGAATATGTGATTTTACCAAATTGGATGATTTAAACGTGCGGAATGAATATCGTCGAGGTCAACAACTCGTATGATCAATATCAGATAGATGCATATGACAAACTTGTATATAAGTTGCCGTTAGATGATTGCATCTGATGACTAAAATGATGTTTTAACGAACTCATTTGACAGATATGTATGCAGTATAATATCAACAATAATAAATGAAAGTTTAGGAATAGAAAATACTATACACAGATCTTTATAGTGGTTCGGCTTTATTAAGCCTACGTCTACTCTCCATGCTGGCAGCCCGTTAGCTGTGTTTCACTATTGAATCACCAAGAGATTATAAGAGCAATGCTTTTCAGATGATAGATTGCACTATCAAGTACACTCTTCACTCTCTAAAATAACAACGTGGAATACAGTAATCACAAGTGTGTAAGATCGAAGCTCTATTCAGATTTTGGAATTCTCGATTCTGGTTCTTGTTCTGGTACGACGTTTGCACTCCTTTTATATTCCTCTATTTCTAATCTATCCGTTGGACAGTATTCAGAGGATTAATCTCCAAATCAACCCGTTGGAGAATCTTCCCAAAAGAAGATGCATAACCGTTAGAAGAAGAACCATTATCTCTAGGTGATTTGATCGCCCATACAATCAAATCAAGATTTCCATAAGTGTAGTTTTTCGTGTTTAAGGAACGATCTTGTGATTGCCAATTAGGATATCTTGAGATATCAATTTGCTTGTCCTGCATAAACTTGCCAAAAATAACACTTATTGAATCTGACGAGTAATTTTGAGTCTGATAACAAAATCCTTTCATCGACTAAGTCTGATGGCTCAGTATTTACCTGTATCAAATAATTTAAGTGTAATTGTGGTAAGAAAAGGATTGTTTTGTCTTTCTTCAAAACTAATTAGGGATTTTCCTCAACACTAGCAAAAAACCCTCAACATGTGAATGATAAAATGCCATCCATAGAAGATAAAATATTGGAATTAAACCTACCAAATCAATTATTGGCTGGTAGCCTTTAGTCATCATCTGAAAATAGAATCCATATCATAACAAGCGGAGTCTCTGGCCAGAGAGATGTTCATACAGAACTTGTAAAATTGACATTTTACATCAGCGACGACTTTTCATCAATGTGAACCATATGGCATATCGTAAATATATACTTTGAACCGAAACATGCTGCACAGACTGGAACACAGGAGTGTTCAAGACAACAAAAGAAGTTTTGTGGGCAAAGGGTGTAACCCATCATTCTATTCTAAAAACTGGTCAAGAATAGGTTTTGGTGCTTTCAACAACTCCACGTTCGTCAATAGAAAGACCATTAGTAAAATAACAGGAAACTACATCATTTCTATATATTAGTAAATAAACTAATGCAAAAACGACCAAATTATTCTGGTAATGGTAAACCCCTCAGCTTAGTTATAAGAGGCCCTGCAATTTAAGACATCACAGCTTCAACTTTCTAGGAAAGTAGAAAGTCTCTTTTGCATTCTCTGTTTACTTTGTTGTTGAAAGACTGCAACCAGGACATCAACACAATGCCAGAGCCAGTACCTTGTCAAGCACCAGGTACGTGTTCATGTTCCAGCCTAGATAAAATATGGTCTAGGCGATGCTGGAACCTGCCTTTTCTCATGGTTCTTTTTCTTTGCTTTATCATTGAACAAACATAACCCCGACCTTGAATAGGAAAAAGAGAAAAACAAAATCTGTACGAGGACTTTGTGCTTACTCTATCTCCTACATATATTGAAGATGTTCGTGGAAGCGATGACCAAATCAAAGTGTTATTTCACTGTGAAATTAATATTTGGGGCGGATCTTGATGAATTGTTCTTATCAGGGACACTTCTTTATGTCTGCAAGAAAAAGGTATTAACAAAATGCCCTAAAAAATTTGCGTCCAATGCAGGAAATATGGAAGAGATGGCCGATGGACCCCGTTACCGTCCATTGTTAACAGCTGCGTTCATGGGTGACTGGGAATCTGCTAGAGCAATTATCAACCACGATCATGCTTCAGTGAGGGCCAGAATAACAAGCAGATTCGAAACCGTGCTTCACATAGCCACTTTGAGTGCACAAGACAAATTTGTGAAGAATTTGCTTGATTACTTGAATCCGGATGATCTTTTAATGGTTGATTCTGATGGCTGCACGGCCCTCCACAATGCTGTCCATTGTGGAAGGATAGAGATGGTCAAGGCATTAGTTGGAAAGGATCGTAGGTTGACCCAAATTCCAGATTATAAAGGACGAGTTCCTTTGAGAATATCTACTCAGGAAGCCTCTACGCATAAGGAGATTGCCTGGTTCCTGGCGAAAAAAACAACAGACGATGGGCCAAGTTATCCCTTCAGCAGTCCCTCTGCGATTAATCCCATTTTAGATCTCACCTACGCTGGTCATCATGGTGATAATACATCACTCTCTACCTCAATTCCATCTGTTTTTTCCTTCATTCTAGACTTAGCTTATTTTCCTGATCAACTTTGCTGGTGAATTTGGATAGATATCACCCTTTTTCTAGTTAAGCGATACCCTCACCTACTTACCATGAAAAGAAGAAACTTATCTATACTGGGCGTGTTGGCGAGAATGCAGACTCACTTTCTCAGCGTAAACAGGCTCGGTGTTTTTGGAACATTGATATTCAAATGTCCGTACTTTCCTTATTCGCATCCCTTCATTACTGATTCCCTTCAAGAAGATCATACCTGGCTCATCACCTGCTCTTTTTGTATCTGAACTGAAGGTATTCCGCTGGACTTGAACTATAAACCAGCAGATGAAACTTTAAGGGATATGCAAGGGCCAAGAAATCCAGGTGGGTCTGCATTTACAGTTAGGCATTATCTAGTTTAGGACCTTCCATGATTTTGAACTCAAGTCAATATCTTAGATTGCTTCCCTCCCTATTAGCAAAGAAAATCAAACATGATTGTTTTTTTGGCTCCCTTTGTTTCTCGGAAAATGTTTTTTAAGAAAACTTTTTGCAAAATTTCTGGTGTTTGAGGCGTGGAAAATGAGTGGTCAAAGAAAACATTTTCCAATTAATGAAAAATACCCTTCTAAAACTGGGGAAAATGATTTCCTCGCCTTATTTCTCTCGCCCTCTCTCCATTCGCTGTTGCAGTGAGTCATCAGCTAGAGATCAAATCCCCTTGGTTCAACAAGAGCTATCTCTCTCCGTTTCTTATTCGACCAAGCATCATTTTCTCTCTGTCCGTCTTCATTTTGCAGCGAGTCTTCCTCCATTATTTTCTCTCAAACTCATCGGCTTTGTATTTATACGGATGATGGCCTGAAATCGAACTACGTTATGGATCAGTTATCCCTTGGAAGCCACATATGATTTAACCAGCATGTCTCTGATTCGTTTTGCAGCTCCTCCCATACTAGTTTTTCGTTCGTTACATTGTCCATTAGATAAGTTATACAATGCTTTTCTTGCTTTTTTTTTTTTTTTGCCTCTTTGGCTTGACTAATCAACTTGCATAACACAAGTGGGATTTAACCTTCACGGACCACTTCACTACCCAACAAGCTTCCGATTGAAAGTAAGAATAGAGTATTTCAAGAGGAATTTCACGGAAAACATAAAGTTAATAGAAAATAGGATGAATCAAGTTATTAGAGCATGCCTCCTTTTACTTGTCCCATTGCAAGAAGTTTGAGAAGGCAAAATTTCATGTCATTTATCCTCATCCATATCTGTGTAGTGAGTCACTTGCAATCCCAACTATTAATCCATGTGAATGTGAATGTTGTTTGTTTTGACATCTTGGACTATGAAACATCGAGATTGTCAGGACACCACTAGCTATAATCTATGTAGTAAAGTACCTTCATTCCAGACACACACAGTGATTTCATATTCATTGACCCGGTTCTCTCTGTTGCTTAATTGTAGGGCTTCAATGTCTTGTAACGTCATTTTGGAATGCCGCCAAATTAGGTACGTTTCCATTTAATGAAGATACCACCTGTCTTTGTCTCTGACTCTCCAATGAAAAGTCTATGGCCTTTTATGTTTTTGACTTCTTTCATAACTAGAAAAATGTTCCTAGTTAATTTTTTTTATTGTAATTCGGAAAAAAAAAATTATTGGGTCCACAGTCTGTAAAGAAAGTTTTACACATACACATTTCTCATTGGGTGAGTGAAATGCGTGCTTGAAGTTAGTTTTGTAACTAAGTTTTTCTACATGCCAACTATCCGACGGTAATTGTGTACCGGCATTGGACCAATTAAAAAACCTCTAACAACTTATTCAAATTAAAAAAAAATTACATATGATTTTCTATGTCAATATTGTATATTTTGAAAGATTTCAAGTATTCACGAAGTTGTAATTAAAAGAGTCGCGCAATTTGGAAAAAGGTAAACAAAGAATCCTTGAAATTGCAAATTGAGGCAAGATTCGATGTTAACCTACATCCATCTTGCTTAAGGCTAATTGATCTAAGGAGAAGATTATAAAAAAGAGTTATGTTGACCTAGGACTTCCCTTCAATCTTGATTGGTGAAATCATTTTGCCTTCGTGTTGCCTCCCTTATGGGTGAATTGCTTAAGCCTAAATTTTATTTTCTTTGACTGCTACTTCATTACGATGCAACATGACGTAATATGTTGAGAGAGTGCAGGAATTGGGCATGGGACCGGGGCAACACCCTGGCATCCTCGACTATTTTCGCCACATCATCCATAAAATGAGGTTGCGATTGATGAAGGCACGCGTCTGTCCTTTAAACACATTGAATATAGTAAAATACCACTTTTTTGGGAACTTTAAAAGGCCGCCTACTTAAAAAAAAAAGCATAAACTTTACTTGAAGTCACAATTCTGAACTGATCTTATTTTTGTCTCATAAAAAATTATAAATTTTCACTTAAATCCCAAATCCAACCCGAACAATTTGAAAATTTCACATCATGGAGGCCAGATTTGGGACTCAAGTAAAGTTAATGCTTTTTATTGAGACAAAAAAAAGTTCGAGCCAAAATTATCACTCAAAGTAAAGTTGATGCTTTTTTTGGGAATTAGCCCGAATAGAAATAGGGGAAAGAAAGCGGGTAAGAAAAATCAATATAATCTGGTTGGGATGGCTTGGAATTGAAGAAAATTTCAGTGGGAGCAAATTTCTTGAGCGCCAATAGAACCGTGCATCCCAGAATTCCACTCCAAGTTATATATCCTACACTAAGAAGCCGTTGGGTAGGTGGTAAGGGAGTTTGCTCATCTTCTTATGATCCTGTATTCGAGATTTGTTGAAGCACTCCGCAAATGAAATCTTGAATACATCAAACATATATGGTGGAGTGCTCTCTTAAAATTACCCAGGGGGTGAACCACTTGAGGTCGAATACCACGGGACAGCTAAAACATTTTCTATAGTTCCCAAAACTTATTAACACCTTCTGCCCGCAGTTGCACTCATTTTCTCATCTTCACCCAACTTTTGTATGCACCTGAAATACCCATTCGCCTTGTCCCTAATTCTTCTATTATTGTCAAAGAACAAACAGGAAACAGAAGTGTAGTTGCGTATTTATCATGTTAAAAGCAATTTTAGAATAGAGTCTAGTTGACTGTACTCACTGTCATTTATGTGTAACAAGTGAACTCGAAGGGGGACATACCATTATGTGACCTCATGTGGAAGTTTTGATTTTATTAGAGACGGATAGAATGGAGGAAAAAAACAAATTTGCTCTTGCGCTGAGCGTAAATAACAACGCAAAGGATTGTACTGTTAATGTGGTTTTCGGTAAAATCCAATTTCTGCCTTTGTTTTTCATTTTCTTGTTTCTTTTTTCTTAACATATTGTAGTTCCTCCGATCAAGAGGATTCACGAGGTAAAGCTGAGATATGTGGCTGCAGTCATGTTGGCCAAAAAAGTGTGCGAGGCGATTTCTGCTATGAGAACTTCCGAGATCACCGAGTTTTTCCTAGAGAGGAACCTGTTGGGTTTTGCTACAACTAAGGGAAACAGCGATCTCGTGAAGCTATGTATTCAGTCCTTCCCGGAGCTTATTAGGATTAAGCCTAATGGTGACAGTTTGATGACACTAGCTGTGAAGAATCGCCAAGAAAGGATTCTCTCACTCTTTTTGAAGAAAAGCTCAAACAACGAGTTGTCATTAGTGCCAGCACCTACACCGGAAGAATCGGAAAAGATGATGCTCGCGGCAGCAAAGTACGACTCTCATTTGGAGGCTGTAACTTATGTCTCCGGAGCAGCTTTTGAAATGCAAAGAGAACTCCAATGGTTCAAAGTAAGTATCTTTCTTTTCATATATATAATAACCGCACTTAGTGATAATTATTATATACCCTTGACTAATATCTTAAAACATGATGGCTACACGTTTCTTTAGATAGTCCTAAGAATATACATAGAACTTTCTTTTATAGCGGTCAAGCAATAACTGAACCAACTTTCGTGCACCTCAACTGGTTCACCTCTCTTTGCTCTTTTAACAGCGCACAGCCCCACATCGGTCTAATGCATAGGATTTTACTCCTAATATATTTCCGACAAGATTTGAATTTAAGAGCACAAGGAAAAGAATAAACTCTCATGACATCTAAATCAACACCTAGTTGGAACATATAACTTTTAAATTTCACAAGCCAAACATAAATTATAAAGTAAGTTGAGAAACAACAATATATTCTTAGTACAATTTACAAAAAATATAGGAGACTGATTAGATAATTTGGGGCCCTAAAAACTTATGGTAACTCATCAAAATGGAATGGCAGATGAATTCTACTAATACAACTATGATCCAACACTCAATCTAAACCAAGCGACTCTTTCTTAAATCTGACGGACTCATTCTATAGGTTTCCGCAATGACGCAATTAGGGGATTATTATGCAAATCATTTCTTGTATAACCCACATATCTTAATTTGGAGCCCCCAAAAACAACATTTAAATCAATTTTGCTTATATTTTTACGATGGCTTTGCTAGTTCCATTGTATCATATTTTGTAAAGATGATAGTGTTATAATTAAATTATGTAGATACTCCATGATCTAATTAAAGTAGTATGACATGAATCTTCTCTTTTTTAATCGAAAGGTTAGCAAAGTTCATTTCTGGCCACTGTTTCTGTTTGAATAGCTATTAATTCAAGAGCACTTCTCATTAGTTGATTTAACTATTAACTAAGATTGTACTCTCGCAAACCATTGTCTACAAAAAAAAATGATTTCATGAAGCTTTTAGTTTTTATTTACCTTTATTTCATTTCAACTCTCTATTCTCTTTGTCATGAAAAAAAGTTGGGACAAAATTGTGCCTTTTTCCTTTCCCCATGGCAGGACTCCAACACATCTCTCCAAATGTTTAATGAGTATAATAGAAAGAGCGAGATGGTCTATTAACAATAATGAATAAAGATTTGTAGGGAAAAGAGTAGTGAAGAAAGTAAAACTTTTTATAAAAGAAAGTGAAAATTGCATGAAGTGAGGAAGGTGACATAGAGAACTTTGGACCTTCTATTAGATAATAAATTGAGAGAGAGAGAGAGAGAGAGAGAAAAGAGGGTGGGTGGGCTGAAAGGTTGCGTGATCCAAGGAAACTAAATGAAGATTGTATAAATTTTGACACTCTAGAGTTAGGCCCTTTAGACGTGAATCTTCACCGTCGAGATTTGAGAAGGGCAATTTAGGAATATAAGAACTGGAGTAACACCTCAACCTATTTAATACTGGAGTAATGTTGCCTATAGGAGGTCACAAAAGTGCGACCAAGGAAATGCTAACCACATAAGGAACCCTCTTCAAGACATAGGGCATTTGATAGGACAATGAAAGGTACGTTGATGTTTAGAGTTAGAGAGAAAATAACAACAAAGTATTTATGGTGGCTCAACCCCAATTATGATTGTATTTCTGACAAAAAAAACCTAATTGAGATTGTATGATATGTATTTATAAGAGTGATTAATTATAGTCGGGGTACAGATAAAAACATAATTACAGAAAGACCCAATAATACATATAAATTACACATTAATAAGGTAGGTGCTCACCACCTAAGGATATAGGGAATCGAACTCGCTACTCTGTGAAATTCACTTTAAAAGAATCCTCAAAGAACCCTAGCGTCAATTTGGCGCTTCTTTAGTTTAGGTTTAATTAGAACATTTCAGACAAGATTGCCCCTAATGTTTCTGTCGGAATAAGCACGTGAGTCGCACTTGCAAACCGGCCAACGGAGATTTGGTTGGCGAGTGAGCTTGGGCCTTTATTTGAGATTATATTAGCCACTTCAGGGCTTTATTTGGGGGTCATGTACACTCTGAATCATGTTTTGAGAAAACGGCCCCACTTTATTCTCTTATTTGAATTATTCCAAATTTTCAATTATTTTTGTACTTATTGTAACTCGTGTTTGTGGCTTTTATGCACAGGCAGTGGAAAAGTGGCTTTTCCCTAACTTGAGAACCTTCAAACACGAAGGGAAATCATATTGGCAAATATTCACTGAGGAGCACCAACAGTTGCTTGTGCAAGGTGGGGAGTGGGTGAAGAACACAGCTCAATCATGTATGGTCGTCTCAACTCTAATTGCCACAGTATTATTTGCTGCTTCTTACAATGTGCCTAAAGGCAATAGCGGCATTACTGGAAACCCATTGTGGTTTGGAATGGAGGCTCTCATGGTTTTCGAAATTTCGGATGCGTTAGGTTTGTTCTCCTCCGTGACAGCCATCATGTTATTCCTGGCCATCTTAACTTCGCGGTACGAGGCACAAGATTTTCTTCACTCGTTGCCTAGGAAGATCATAATGGGCCTTTCTTTTCTCATCCTCTCCTTGGCTTGCATGCTGGTGGCCTTCGGTGCAGCTTACAAGATTGTGCAGCAAAAGAGACCAGAGTGGGTTTACATTCTCTTTGCATTGCTGTCAATTTGCCCCTTTCTTTTATTCTTAATACTCCAGATTCCCCTGCTAGGGAAAATGGCTAAATCCACTTATGGACGTGGCGCGTTTCGTCCCAAGAGCATTTGGAAGTGAGGCATAATTAGTGGACAAGATCGCGTGATTGACCAATTTGATTTGAGGGTATACGCCTTTGTTATAGTTGGTTGTAGCGGGTCCAATGCAATACACAATGTATTTCCTTAAAGTATATGAACCATCACTATGCAAAATTATGATTCCCTACATTGTTGCCAAAGATCTCCTTATAGAATGAGTTGATCAATAAAAGTTTCAGCCTATAGATATTTCAAACCAGAATATATATAAGTGCAGACTTGGGAAATCTACTAAAAAAAGATACAAGTGTAACATTTCTTTACATTAGTAGGTTTTATAGAATAACACACATACAATTTTTAGTTTAGCGTGTAGATTTATTTCATAAATAGATTTGATTTTCCATTTGGAGATTGCTTGCGTAAAAAAGACTTTTACATTGACAATGTATTTAATATATATCCTATTTCAAAGGGATTTTAATCTATAAAATGGCAGCGTAAATTTTTTTTTCATACAAGCAGGTTTAGATAATGACACATAATCAATTTTTATTGTTTTTCATGTAACTTTATTCTATAACAGTTTATATTTCCATTATGAGACTATTTGTGTAAATTTTTTTTACCGTGATGATGTATGTAATAGACATCTCCATAATATTCTTATTCACCGACGTTAGATCCTTACTTTCTGAACATGGGCAAAACCGTTCCCTTCACCTCTTCTTTCTTTACTTAATATTCATCGCCAAGTCAAAAAATCTTCCAAACATAGTTTGAGTCTGCATTTCGCTAATGTGTCTTCTCGTAAAAGAGATACACTGACATCTTTAACATTACCTCATAAAATGAAAACATCATCATCCTCAAAATACAAATTTTTATATACATTTAGCTTAATGTGGGTATTCTTAAAAGCTTAATATCACAATTTTTTTCTAAGAAATAAATAATTAACTGAATATGGAATTTATATTATCTTTAAAAATGTAAGGAAAATGGGGAGGATAACAATTTAGGTGGAAAGTTAATCGATGAAGCTAGCTCGCATTTAAAAACTAAGGATGGAACGTTTTTCGAGGGAGAAGAGAAAGGCAAGCTCGAAAGAACAACTATATCGAGCTCAATTTCTCTATTCTCATAAGACTAAAAGGAACTATTGATTAATTCATATATTAAGAATCATCATTAAAATGGACACATAAGATATTGCAATCGGGATAAAGAAACCAAAGTTGTTGAACCTTTTTACCAATTCTCTTTTGTCCGTGATTCTTTCTTTTTAATCAATTGGATTCCTAAATCAAAAAATATTTTTATGAATTAGTTACTTGGGGTCACAGGTGCATTTTCACATAATTTTTTTTTCTTTCCTTCCACCATCCCCAGCATTGCAAACGACATTTATCAATTGACTTTTATTCAGTGCACTGACGGCGTAAAATTTCTTTATATAATCAGGTTTTATAGAATGACGCATACGATATTATTTTTAGCAAGTAGGTTTAATCCATAAATAGGTTTTTCCATTCTGAGACTGCTTGTGTAAAAAGGAATTTTACACTGACAACAAATATAATGTGAATTGTATTTCAACGGACTTTTATTCTGCAAAATGATGGTGTCAAATTTTCTTCACAGAAGTAGATTTTAGGTAATGGCACAATCATTTTATATTTTTTTGCACGTAACTTTATTCGATAAACAGATTTATATTTCCTTTCTGAGACTTTTTTTGCGTGTGAAAAGCTCTTATATCCATAAAATTTTTGTTCACCGCCATTAAATTCGTACTATCTGAATAATATGGGGTAAATCCTTCTCTTGACCTCTTTCTTTTTTCCCGCTGGGAGACTTTTGGCCACTACCACAATACAAAATCATGGAATTGCTACTTTGATTGGCACTGAGGGCCCGTTTGGTTCAACTTTACAAATAAGTCTTGGGAGAATGCAAATACCTTTAGATTAAAACCCCTAGGGGAAATGAAAATGACATTTGGTAAAAAATCTTTTATGAAGTTACTTTGGCCCAAATAGTGTTTTGCAAATCTTTTTTTTGCAAAGAGCTTTGGGATTATCTTTTTTATTAAAGAAAAAAAAAGCTTACACTTCGTCGGAGCCGGCGGCCGTCGCTCAAGGTCAGGCAACCCTCGGCGAGGGTTGCACGACCCAGGCGACGGCAGCCTGGGTTGCGCGACCCCAAGTGATGGCCACTTGGGGTCGCGCGACCTCAGGCCGCCGTCACCTGGGTAGTTGCGCGACCTCAAGCGGCCGTCGTCGAGGTCGTGTGACCTCGCTGGCCCTTCACCGTCCCGATCTGGTGTCGTTAGCTCTAGTCGGTCACCCTTGCATAAAGATGAACAGTAATAACGAGGGGCGAAACTGGAATATTAAAGAATAAGTGAGTAGTTTGAGAAGAAAAAAATTGATTTCAGCCCAAAGTTGGTCTAAACCAGTTTTGAGCTTTGAGCATTGCCAATGCTGGCTTTCCGCCGAAAGTCCATTAGGAATGCTTGCCAAATGCCCCAGCATTTCGCCAAGCAAACGGGCTGAGAAAGGTGTGGCATTGCATCACAATTGTTGGATTCCTACCCATAGGTTGTTCTCATCTTAATATCCATCGAGTTCATACATTGGAGTTTATTTTGTCTAGCAAATTGAAATTAATGGTTCAATCTCAAGGGAAGTCTCGGCCACACCAAACCAAAGAGTCTAGCTCCAACTTCACTTGGCCTATCGATATTATATTGTACATCAAACCGAGCATCCTTAATTGCTTCGATTCTTTAAGAAGATAGAGATATTTAATCGAGCACGTGTCACCAACTCAGCCCGCCTAGTAATAAATTAGTATTTTTCCGAAACAAATCCACGTCTAAATGGTGGATGCCGAGTTAGTATTCTTAGTTGAGATTTGTGTGATTTGCAGTAAAAAGAGAGAAATTTATGGTATATTTCCATTACCAAAAGAAGAGTTCAAGCCCTCCCCTTATATATAGGGTGAGAGGCAATTAGGTTTAATTACAATTGATGTAAACTCAATTAACCTACTCTTAAAAAAATATATATATATATATATATATATATATATATATATATATATATATCTGCCATCGCCCCTCAAACAAAAGATGACTGGAAAGAAGTCAATTGGAGTTTGGAGAAAAGATCCAGAAAGAGGCTAGGTGGATGTGTCTTAGTGAAGACATCAGTAGTCTAGTCGGCTGATGAAGTGGAAACAAGTCTAATAGTACCACGAACAACATGATATCGGACGAAATGATAGTCTATCTCAATGCGTTTGGTGCGTTCATGAAAAACATCATTATATGCAATCTGGATAACACTGCGATTGTCGCAATGACGGACCATCCCGCTATGATGACGTACTCCCATATCTTCAAGTAGCCATCGCAACCATAATAACTCTGATGTTGTATCAATAAGAGCTCGATATTAAGCTTCTGTACTAGAGCGAGTGATAGTGGACTATTTCTTGATACGCATGAGATAAGGGAGGTGTCCAAAACGAAATAGTAGCCCATAGTGGAGCAATGATCTTGAGGGTCGCTAGTCTAGTCAATATTGGAAAAATCTGTCAACTCCAATGTAGAATGAGCAAAAAAGTGAAGGCCATAAAATAACATACCCTTGACATAGTAAAGAGTACGAAGAACTATTAGTCTAAGTTGTACGGGGCGCTGTCATGTACTAACTAACACTATGAATAGTATAAGCGATGTCACGGCGAGTAAAAGTGAGATAGATAAGATTGTCAACTAACTATTGATAGAGGGTAGGATTCGAAAGAGGGGTCCCATCACCAGCATCAAATTTGGGATTGGTCTCAAGAGGAAGCGTGGCGACCTTGGTGTCAGTGAGTCCTGCTCGAGAAGTGAGATCAGTGACATATTTAACTTGAGAAAAATAATAACTAGATGAATCTGAGTTAACCTCTAAGCCTAAAAAGTAACTAAGTTGCCCTAGATCTTTCATCTCAAACTGTTGACTAAGACAGTGCTGGAATTCTGAAATTCCGGTACAATCATCTCCAGTAATAGCCATGTTGTCCACATATAAGAGCAACAATATAAACCCACGAGAAGTATGTCGAACAAAAGGAGCATGGCCAAGAGATGCCATTGTGGAGCTAAACTTGAAATACCATGCACGAAAAGATTTTTCCAATCCATATAATGGGCGGCGTAATTGACAAACTTTGTGAGAAGGATAAGGGTAGCTAGGAGGAGGTACCATATAAACTTCCTAGGTGAGATCACCATTAAAGAATACATTTTTAACATCTATCTTAAATAAAGACCAATGCTTAATATCGATAACGGCAAGAAGACTGCAAATAGAAGTAAGATGTGCAATAGGGGTAAAAGTCTCTTCATAGTCAACGCCGTATTCTTGAGAAAAACCTTTCGCAACGAGGTGAGCTTTATAGGTATCCACAATACCATATGATTTTGTCTTGATCTTGTATAGCCATTTATAACAGACATCAGACTTACCAGGAGGCAAATTAACTAAATCACAAATATGAGATTTGTCTAAAGCTTGTAACTCATCTGCCATTACTTGTTGCCAAAGACGATTAGTACCAACTTCTCTATACGTGTGAGGTTCATAAAGGAAAACTATAGTAGAATAACAATGATAATCCCGAAGTCGAACAGAAACTTGACTTTCTCTAGCGGAACAATGATTAGAGGTGGAAGAGTGACCGATGGTGGAGAATCCACTAATAGGGGAGACACGTCAGAAGTGGCCAAAGTGGTGTCACAAGAAGATCCTGCATCAAGATGAGAAGAAGACAAATCTGGAAAAGAAGAGTCAGATGTGGACGGAAGTGTGGTATCTTTCAAAAATAAGTCCATGGAAGGATTGGTAAAAAAAGGAACATGAGCAGAGGATTCGAAGGGATGAACAAAAGAGAACATCTTGTGCTAACCAAAAAAGTGTTAGGAAATGTTTCCTGAATGACTAACTCTCTTCTGTGAGTTATTAGCTATAAAAAGAAGAGATGAACATGAAGAGAAAGATTTAAATTGAAATAAGGTAGAGTTGGATGTCATGTGATTGCAACAAGCAAAATAAAAAAAACCATGAATCAGAAATAATTGGAACAACAGATATAGCAAAAGTGGTAGGAACAAAAGAGCTAAAGT